GGCACACAATACAGATGCAAAATCGCTCAACCCTCACATCAAAACCTCGATCTCCAGGCGATGAAATGTGACACCACCCACAGCTCCCCAGTGGGAAAGAATTAGTCTCTAGACACACCCCACTCAGGTTGCCCAGTCCATGAGAGGTGCCTACTCAAAATATGATGGTAGTGATACTAGTGTAAGATCAAAACCTCATGCCCATTAATAAATGCAGATTCTGAATTCTTTAGCACATACCAGAAAGAAATTTCAACATGAACTGCATCGTGCCAAACTAGAAGGTTGCTTCTGAATAGCAGACACACAGTTTCCAAAAAGAGAAGACCAGAGCTTGATGTCTTTACTCATAGCAAACACCACCTTTGTCAGCAGGGAGTGTAGTAGTAGGCAAGAGTAAATGCAACAGAATAAGGCCCATAGATGATATTCAGACAAGAATAATTTCCCTTTACATTCCTAAAAAATGTACTGCCAGGATGGTCAAGCATGAAAATATGCCACTAAGTATTAGTTTTAAAAACCTACACAATTTGGGACCAAGTTCACCTGAAGAGCACCTCTGTACAGTGCACTTCATTATGGCTGATGAAACTGTTTGAGGACTTTAAATTTCCAGCCTTATTATGACTATTATCAGAGTATTTTCTGGAGTGAAGTGGGCAGCGTGTTCCTGAGATGAGTTCAAGTTGGACTGGCAGGAGACCTCCCAACATGGAGTTTGCTCTTGCTGAAGTTGGTTCTGCTGGGATTAATATTGAGACATGATGTGAGATGTGCCTCCTTGGTCAAGGATATACTTAATTACAGACCATCTCTGGGTTATTCAGAGTTCAAATTATACTGGAAAGAGTCTGTTTACATTGTTTATCATGAGGAGCAGATTTACTATCTGACTGTACTTAAGCTATATAATGTGTCTAAATACCAATGTGACAGACACACAATGTATCATTACATAAATATATTGAATTAATTCAAATTAAAGGTTCAGCATATTTTGTAACTCACTAGATACAGATCTGTTTGTAAAGTTTTGACAAAGGTGTCATATGATGGTTCATTACTACCTTAATAAATGAAAAATAGATCCAGTAATTTGCAACAGCCACTGCTATCACTTAATACTCTGAAATGAGGTTTGCCAGCCATGAAGCTCAAGAGCCTGATTACAGATAATGGACTTAAGCTTCCTGTTGGGGATTTCTTCATTCTGCAGCCTCAACAGAATTTGAACTTGCGACATTTCCATCATACTGTGGCTTGGTTAGAGGTAAAATAGAAGCAGCTGTAAACTGTTAATTGACTAACATGACATCTTTCACTGGGCTGGACGATCAGGAATTCCAGTTGCCCTGGAGAAGTGGCCCCCTGGCTGGCTTTACAAGGAGGTGATGCTTTCTTCCTGATTAGCAGACATGTCCTCTTTTATTTGACAGATTTTCAGGGAACGCGAATCCCCCTAAGGCACAGACAGACACAGATTTTTTCCTTGGCATTGGAATCCCTGGCACCCAGAGGCAGCAGTTAGGAGATGTGGTGCCTGGATTGCTACTCCCCTGCACAGTGTATCTCAGCAACATTGCTCTGCAGTGTTGATAGTCAGGCTTCAGACTGATATGCCCAGGAAGTCTAGGATTTGCAGAAGTAAGTGCAGCTTTAAGTACATACTTCCAGTGCCTGGGAGGGTATGTTGGTATGCCCTTTGCATTAGGTACACAAGCTCATACACAGTCAGAAAAAAAGAGGGATGACAGGTAACTCCTGCCATAGAACAAAATACAAATCCAGGTTTAATACTACACCATTACTCCTATTTTCACAGAAGTAAACAAGGGTACAAAACTGTCAAATAATTTGATAGATATCACTAACCTGGTAACACACAAAGCTGCTTGATGAACTAATTTGTCAGGGCAGTGACATTCTAGGCAAACTAATATAAGCACAGAGCTTTGGCCTTGCATAAAATGTTTCTGGTTATTAGATTATTAATGGAAAAAAATAAAGGCAGTCTGAATGTGACCCTTGAGGCAATCCTTAAATTTATTATTCCTAGCTCTTGGGCCATTCCCCTGTATGATTTATGTTTGATCACAAAAATAATCAGAGAACAGATTTGCTGGAGATATATAGCAAATTTAATTAATCGTAAACACACTAAGTCTTCAAAAATATTGTTTTACTGTAACAATAAGCAGAAATCATAACTGATGAGTAAATCAATAATAAAGCAAACACATGAAAAGTAATAGGCTGAAACCGGCCATGTGCTTTTAAGGAGACCTCAGCACTAAGTTCACTGAGTTTCCCCTGAGAATATCCCTTCTCCAGGCTGAACAAGCCTGGGTCTCTCAGCCTCTCCTTGCAGGGAAAATACTCCAGCCCCAATCATCTTGGTGGTCTTCACTGAACTCACTCCAGTTTACTGATGTCTTTCACTTAGGGTGTTGGAGAAAACAAAAGGGCTGCAGTATCTGAGATGTGGACTAATGAGTGCTGAGTAAAGGGAGACAATAATGTGTCTTGATCTATTGGCTAATACAGCCTTTTGGCCTTTGCTCCTAGGGCATACTCTGCCTTGACTGCAAAGCTGAGGTGTCAGGCAAAGAGTTTCCTTATGTGGCAAGAGCTGTAAGAAGACTTGCTAAAGATTCTTCTTCAAAAGATCAAACCTGGAGAGATGCTAAACAATTGAAACGCTCTTTAGGGATGCTAAAGTCTGGAAGTTTACAAATATCAAACAGCAGAAGAGAGGCAGAGAATCATTAACAGCAAGAAATTGAAGTTACTGGTTTAGTTTCCAGAAGCTGCACTAGTAACTATATAGTGTTTTGCAGAAAAAAGTTCCCTTTTTATCCAGTGAACCAGCATAGGAAGACATCCACAAGCAAAAGACTGTTGTTTTTTCATTAAGTCTGCTAGCAGATGATAGAGTTACAAGGGGGTCAGAGAAGATTCTTTCAAGGCTACAGATCACCCACGTGAATGTATGTGTAACAAGCACAGTAGATGAACTCCGGAGAAAGGAGGAAAAACCACAGTCAAGTGCAGTAAACCCCAACACTCACCAATGCCCGTGCCAGGAAACCTGCCTGAACTATTTCACAAACTGTAGGAGGGTGGCTGTGAGTTGTTTAAAGTCAGTCACCTCACAATAACATACAATTTTGAACAAGGAAGAACCCCTTTGTTCACTTTTGTCAGGAACTAGCACATCAAACAGAAGTTAATCACTGGCAAACTCACCAGCTGAATGGAGAGAGGAGAAGGAGGAGAAACAAAAGCTGAATCCAAGAAACTGCTTGTGTTTCTACACAATGGCATTTGGGAGAGTAGTAAACCACTCTAAGATGTCAAATGCTTCTAGTAAGTTCAAATTCTTTAAAGATTTAGGTGTTTCTAGCCATATCTAAATGGTTGAAGTAAGTTAATTTTACTAAGATAACAGTCTGGTGCATTTTTATGGCTGTGTGCTGACCAGCTGACCAAACCTGACTAGTGCAAAGTTTCAGGTGCACCACAAAATCTTGGAATAATAGTAAGTGTGGTTAAGGAGGGTAGCTGGGTTTGTTGACGCCAGGGAGAGTGCAGGTCTGAATTTCTAGCATTCCCTTGACTGATGACTGGTACAGGCTGGGAGGATTTTAACATTTTCTTTCCATTCTCCTTTTGGCTAGAAGGAACCTTGGGGCAAGTGCATGAACTGCTGCTGGACAGGCTGATCTCTTGTTGCCTGAACAAAATGAGTGTCAATCCCATTATGTCCTCCTCTCCCACAGTGCCATACAATAGCATAGATGGGGTCATTTTTTCTGAGGGGGAGACAGATTGCAATGCCTTTCTACCAAGTCATGCTCCTGTTCTTCAAGGTCCTTTCTCCATGGCAAAAATTCCTCTGGGGGATAATGTGTGGTTTTACCAGGGAATGAGGCAGAAGGCAAAAGCTTGCTTTACATGTTAGCCCTAACCAGTGCAGCAGCCTACTATGTCATAGGACAGCGAAAAATATTTTTTTTTGACTTGATCTACATGACAATATTGTTATTTACAGTTTGCACTGAGACCTGGGTATGTAACTGCTTTAAGTGTGTGACTGTTGTGCTAGATGCTGTGTAAGAGAATGTTTTCTGCCCCAATCAATCTGTAAATTAATGTAAGATACAAGCAGATGAAATTAAAGGCTGGAGAGAGGAAGGAGGTAGAGAAAGAGGTTGGAATGTTGATATCTTGAAGTTCCACAGAGGTCCTGTAAAAAGCATTTGCTCCAAACCATTAGAAAAATAAGAAATTATCAGATTAATTTGGTTAGTCATCTTTGATTCTTGCCTTTATTGGGAAACTATTTTCCTGCCGGTCGTTTCTAAAAACAGGTTTTGACTGATTTTGAGTTTATTCACCTTTCTTAGAGAGAATTTCTAGAGCAAAGAAGAGGAGGAAGAGTCTCTTGAAATAACTGTGGCAGTATGCTGTATCCTCTGTCAGGGTCACTGGCAGAGCAGACTTGGATTGCCATGCAGACAGCAGCAACACAGGAAGCAGCAAAATTGTCAGAAGACATTTCTAGGAAGGTTTTCAAACTTACTGTACAGTACATGTCTCATCACAGAGGTTAAATAAGGAGAACACAATGTGTTGAATGTGTGAACGTGTGCTCATGGTATGTATGCACATCTATAGAATGTGTCTACTATTCATGCCCATTAAATCCATACAGCTCCTATGATTTATTCAAGATTAGCTCTCAGTCCCTCATTCTTCCATATACGTGCCAGCTGTATGACACGCATAGCAAGATGTCTTTTGGTGAACATAAGAATCATGGGCTGACTGGTATTTAGGGACTTTGGGATATTATATGTAGAAAAGCCTTGGGCAGATGACAGCTGATAGACAGGTATTCTGGACTTACACTGGGTTTGATTGCATTAGTTTTCATTCAGCAGCAAAACAGAAGGGGAGGCTTTTATCTTAAAACAAATCTGAGCTGGAACACTCACCTATGACACAGAATGGTTTCCTTGCAAAGCGCAGCCTCCCTTGCCATCCCCGGTACCGACAGCAGCATCCAGCAGACCAGATACGAATAATAAATTCCAAACCAAAGACAACAATCATGACAAATTCCTAGAAATGGAAAATAAGAAAAATGCTCGTTACAGATAACCAACTCTGAAGCATCAGGAACCTTCTGACCACTGTCTGTGTGTATCAGTACAACACCTTGAGCACCTGAAGATCCCAAGCCAAACTTGGTGCTCTGTTCCCTAGGATGATTACACACCTACACACAAAGCAGTCCTCAGAGCTCCCAGGTGAAGGGTCCAAATCTACCCTGAATGACATTAAATATCCTCTAAGATTGACTACTATGAGACACTGAAGGACTGAATCATACTCAAAAATACCAAAGCACAATATTTAGTGACTTTGGATATGAAGACCAGACCATGTGTAATTTAGACAGCTAATGAAGAATATACGTTATATATCCACATCCCTAAAAGTAGCTCTTAGTTTGAAAGCTGACTGTATTGTTAGATATATTCTCATTGTAGCAATATACAGATGAAGTGATTAAGCTGATGCAGAAGAATTTAAGAAATAAATACTTACATTGGGCATGTAATTTTTTGTAAGACAGCAAATGGACATTCACACTAGGCATAAATTTCCCTGGACAGCTTGCGAATTAAAGCATTTAATAACTTGCCTTGTTTCTGGCTTGCCTATTTTCCATACTGAAACCTTAAGATTGTCTATTTCAATAGCATGAACTTGTATTTATACAACTTCTATTGGAAGAACTTTTTCAGTGCAGCAGAGAAGTCAACAGAGTTTCAGCAGTAGAGCTTGAAGCACAATTGAACTCCATACCTTAAGGAAATACAAATCCCTAGAATATGCAGTGATATAGTACATACACACTAGTATGAAATTATAAACTTAATTTAGACTGTCTTCTAGAATGGCATAATAAATTTTGAAATGATAACATAAAATTTTGTGTGTTCAATAAAAGGAGAAAGTACTTGAAGGAACTTCTTGAGCAGTTCGTCAAGAAGAGGATGAAAGTTATATCTTATTTGGCAGCTGAATGTATTTCCATGTGCAGGAGAAAGCTATTCCTTGTCAGCCAATTAATTTGTTATGTCTACAGCATGAGGACATAAGGAAACACTGCAAATGAATCAGATAGAAGAATATTTTCAAGGGTAGGGTTGATCAAATGGTGACCTTTTCCCAATATACAGTTTGCATGTTTTTAGACTGTGAGACCCGACAACTCAGGAAGCCAATAAGGCTTTAAATACCACATATATCAACTCTGGCATTAATTTACCTAACAAATGGCATTATGAATACTGTTTATGTAATGGTGCTTTACTAGCTTGTGATCACTGGAAGTACATCGAAACAGTATGAATTTAATTTGCTTTTGCTGTCACAGAACAATTTGAAAATATAGTATTCCTTCCTAAAAACATGTCAGCTTGTATTACTACACCATGTTGAAAGAGTTTTTAAAGCCTTCTTCCATGTCTTGGTTTCCAGTTTTGTAAATCCCAAACTAAATTCCTAAATTGCAGTTAAAGGAAATACCACTTTTTTTTGTTAGAAAAGAACACATGGAAAAATGAGTGTGATTGTTTATGGTTTTCTTTTTATTCATTCTACTACAAGAAAATTTTACTTAATGTCATGGACAAAGTTATTGCACAATTTTAGAAAGGATTTTGTGCAAAAGTGATGAAGTTCTCCATATAGTAACAATAACTCTCAATACTTGGCTACTATGTGGTACATTTCCTTGTAAGAAATTCTCTGTAGGCCAAGAATAAAATGTACAAGAAGCCAACTGGAAAAAAAGGAAATAATATGTATTTTAGTTATTTAACTACCACTTTTATAGTAGTTGTTAAATCTTGAATTTTCAAATCTGGTTTACTCGTCATTAGATAATGTCTTTGAAATTATGAGGGATGAGGGCAGGCACCCAGGCCATTTGACATCTTATTCTCCTGATTGAGTTTCTTTTTTCGGGCAGGGGTAAGAGATGCTGAAGGACAAGAGGTCAGCAAAGCATGAAACATTCTTTGCTTCCAAGAAAATCTATTCCTTGTTAAAATCTCATCACATTTAACTGGACTAAAGTTTCTCACTTCCCTGGAAAACACACTGCGTGTATAGATGTATGAGCAACACCTCCTGCTTTGTAAGTACGCTGACGTTGTCACAGGCATCTTAGAGGACCTGATCCACACATGCAGGAGCGTGTCCTCTGCCACACTCTAGACCCCAGTAGGGCCTCTCATGGAGCACTGGCAGGAACAGAGTACTTAATGATCCTGGAAAGATGAGTCTACAGCTTCAGTTCAGTTAAATTAGTATCACAAAATTGCTGGTAGAAGTTGAAAAGAGGTAATTTTGGGGGGAAGTTTACTACTCTGGTTCCTATTAGTGCTAAACAGTTTAGTATTCATCATCTGTACTACTGTTAGCAATTACTATTTGCTACACTTCTCAGTTACACAGAGATGAAAAAAAACCACTGGGTGCTGAAAGCACAGTTTTGAGAGTCTTTTTTACTACATGGTGTACTCCTGTGTCACGAGGCAGAAATCCAATTTGTCTCTCACACAAGGCACATACATGTATTACAAAGAGAAAATTAATGGAGCTGTATCTATTCTGAGAGAGAAAATGAGCGTAAGGATATTTTCTCTCTTTTTGTTTTTTTTGAGGGTGGAGTAAGAATTTAAGGTTTTTCTTGGTGAAACAACCTGAAATGTCTTTGGTCATTCCTTGAAAAACTAATTACAATTTCTAGCAACATTACAAATTTATGCATGCTGATATTTTATCAAAATTAACTGAAGTTTCTGCTACTTCAGTTAATTTGAACAACAGCTGCTCTAGTTTCAGTAAGTGGGCTCAAATACATTTAAGAAGTCTCTGTGCACTGGAATATTGCAAGAAATGCTAGTTTAAAAAATATTATATATGGTTTCCTCCCACGCATAACAAAATTACTGGAGGTTTTAAAATATAGGATAAGCTTCAATAACAGAAAAGACATTCAGTAAAGTGGAGATGGGTTTTCAGGTTAATTTTTGCACTTTCTGAAATAGTGATATTTTAAAATCCTTATCTCTCAGTCACTCAAAGAATCACAAATTTTGAAGGGAATCCATATCATCATGAATAGTGTCTAAAGGAAAAGGATTTTCTGAGAAAACATGGATGCATTTAAACAGAAAAATATGCCAATTTTGTTGTTTTCTGGATTGTTCCAGATTGAAACCAGAGAGAAACTAAAAATCCTACACCACTGTGGAAAAAAAAGAAGGATGTTTTAGTAATCAGTGTGCTTGATCATAATGTAAAGTCAAATCTCTGTCAAGGTTAATGCAGGCCAGGGAATTACATTAATTTTTCCTATGGCAGCTGCACCAGTTTCTTGGTTTTCCATGGACAAAAATTGGAAGCATGCATCCCAAACAAGATCAGGATACTTTTTAAAGTTTTATTTTATTTTGAATGGTTTATTGCAAAATGAAGCATAAATCTAGGCTTTTAATTACCTTGGCTTTAGTTCCTTTAGCACTTGAAACAGAAAATCTGGACATAATTGGAAAGGCATGTGATGGAATAAATAATTAGACCTCATATGATTTGTAGGCCTGGTGTAGAAATGATGCATTCCACGTATCACTGTCCTACATATAATATTGTATTACTTGTGTGATATGAATAACAACATTTATATCAGAATGGGAAAATCCTGCATTGTTGATAAATTCAGTAAGATTCTATTAGAATGGATGAACAAGTTCCGATTTATCATAGAATCAGAGAATTACTTAGGTTGGAAAAGACCTTTAAGACCGAGTCCAACCATTGACCCTACTCTACCAAGTCCAGCACTAAGCCAATACTCTCAAGTGCCACATCTAGACGACTTCTAAACACATCCAGGGATGGTGACTCAACCACCTCCCTGTGCAGCCTTCCAATGTCTGATGACCCTTTCCGTGAAAAAGTTCTTCCTAATGTCTAGTCTAAACCTCCCCTAGTGCATCTTGAAGCCATTTCCTCTTGTTCTATCACAAGTTACTTGCGAGAAGAGACCAGTGCCTATCTCTTTACAGTGTCCTTTCACATAGTTGTAGAGGGTGATGAGGCCTCCCCTCAGCCTCACGTTCTTCAGACTAAACAGCCTCAGTTCCCTCAGCTGCTCATATAAGACATGTTCTCAAGGCCCTTCACCAGCTTTGTTGTCCTTCTTTGGACATGCTCCAGCACAATATGACGTCTACTGGAAACCCTTCTCTCCTGAGGTAGAGCAGAGGAATGCCTTGGCCTTTGCAATTTCTCCCTTTTCCTCTACCTTGTCATCCTTCTGCAATCACAGCTACATCTGGCCCTGCACCACAGCTACCACAATCTGAAACTTTTTTGGCTATTTAAGCTCACAGTTAGTGTTTCACAGTGACTACTATGGCAGATGCATTGGTGGTTTGGACAGTGGAAAGTCTTTCTTCCTCCTCAAAGCACAGTTCATCCAGACTATTGAATGTTTCATTCTGAGATGTTTCTGCATATGCAGCTCCAGTTGTCATGGGGAAATACGCATATGGATATGCGTATTTCTGCATATGCAGGAGAAGCAAGGCTGAAACACACAGATCCAGTCACTTTTGGCATAAGGAACACAGGGGCCATTCTGCTCCTGACGTTTTTTACAGCTGCATGTGCCTTCGTTGCTCTGCCACTGGAACAGTAAATGGCAGAAAAGGAAAACAAGAGGTCATCCAGGGCAACATTTCTATTTACAGATGGTCCTGGAGGACTCTAATGAACAGGGTTGATAATGAAATCAAGCATACTTTGTACAATCCAGCTACCATGAGCACTTTTTTCCTTTTTTCTTTCTTACCTAATTAGGAGACAAGTGATGATTTGTTGAAATTGTCCACATTAATATGCTTCTCAGGTGTTTTTTTAATGATAAGGATTTCCCTGAGCATAACATATTAACAGAAAAAAAACCTGCTTCTATCATAGGTTTCATGTTCATTTACATAACTGCTTATTAAAATTTTAAATAATTTGCTACTGCTGAA